ATATATATATCCTATAGATTTCAATTTGTGGACTACCAAGATTCCTATCCTTTCCTGTCTCCACAACCCCAGGAGCCATCAATTGCCAAAAGTTCCTTAGTTTGGTTGGGATTTCTTACCAACTTGCCCCTGTCTATGCTGAGATTTTTGTCTGGTTTGCTGAGAGTTTGAGTAAATGACAAGCTGTCTGAAAAATAGTCGTTTAATTGATATAAACCCCACTTTGGCCCACTAATTTGGAGGGAACTCATGTGGCATTGTAAACATAGCCAAATACACATAGCTGAAGAGGTCACAGATCTTTTTGCTACATCCTTAGAGCAACATAATTCTTACTTTATTCTAAATATGCATCCTCATATATACAGACAAATGTAACTTTTGGTGCACACCAAAGAAACTTCTTTTTGCAACAGATACAGTCTGTTACAGAGTTCCAGAACTGGTCAAAAACAGAGACTAAGCATCTGTGAGATGTTTAACCCCAAGTGACACATCCTCAATGTGCCACTTAGGATGATTGCATCTCTTAGCTCTCACCAGAAAAGTTTCCTTCTGCAGCATATGGTGATTAACACAGAGATCCCCAATTAGTCAAAGTGCAGAGAACAAGAGGTCACAGAGCATTTATCCCTGAACAGGACACCCATTTCAAAGTTCTGCCCCTCAAGGCTTAGAGATCAGTGCAGAAGAGGAGGCAGAAAGAGTGGAAGAGCCAGAGGGTGTGGCTGACCACAAGGAAACACTCTTCTCTCTTTATTCTTGTGCTTGTCATTTCAAACCTTCAGTGTTCACAAATGACCATATGATAAAAAATTTGGTCATTTGCCAATGCTGTTTTAAGAGGTAGAGCCTAGTGGAAGGGAGTTAGGTCACTGGCAACATTCATTTTAAGTTGATATTGGGACTTTGGACCTCTCCCCTCTCTCTTTCTTTTGTGTACTAGCCACCATGAAGTGAGGAGTTCATCCATCATACAATCCTGCCATGAAGAGGTGTCTGACCACTAGCCAAGGTGGCTGGGTCAGCTGAATATGACTTGAACTCTCTAACACCATGGGTCAAATAAACTTTTTGAACATAAAAGCTGCTTATATATTTAACTGTAAGGGAAGATACAATGATCAAGATGGTGGTTTTTCCAGGGTGAGGCTTATCCATTGGACTCTGAATGTGTTGATCCCTGCCATTTCCTCAAATGTGGGAAACTTGACCATAATTTATGATAGTGGAGTACTGTGATCATGCAATAAACTTATTAAATAAAATTATTAAAAAATCTGTTTACCACAGGTACTTGTCATGGATAAGAAAAGCTGACAGACTTAGTACCTGTTTAGAACTTTGCCACATATTTTGTATAACTATGCCACTTACAGCTTAGCTGTTGAATTGATCAAGTGTCTGATATAAAACTTTAAAATATTCGAAGGAATTCTGCAATGAACAACCATAAAAATACAAGCTAGAAAACACAATTATTCTTTTTACTTTTTCCCTTGAGAAGCCATATTTACAGGTCAGCTGGCTATGTTTTCATGGAAATCATAAATATTTGCATACATTCAGTCTTACAGATGATCCCCTTATGAAGGATCATCAAATAAGAAATCATATTGTAATTGAAATTTTATTTACTCTAGAAACGAGGTTATTTTGTGACTTTCCTCATCCTCCAAATCACAATAAACATTTATCTATCTTCTTGCTTTTAGCAAAATGATTATAAATGAGCAATGAGGGAATATTTTTCTTTAGATTCCTTGACTGGATTTTGTTAGGCTGTGAGCCAAGCTATGCTTACTGCTTTAATAGTCTTAGTAATTAGTCCACACAGTGCTGTTATTGCTCATTCTATATTTCCTTTGGAATAAGGAACAGACATTGATTTATTACCTCCCATTTTATTTGTCAGATTTCACCATTAATACAAAATATATTACTAGTCTTACAGAATGGGTCATTTTTAAGTGCTCTTCATCAAATATTGCTGTTACTGTCTAGACATGACTCTAGACCCGTGGTTCTGTCTCCACTAAATGGGACCAAATGTTATATCTGTGGTGTCGTTCTATCTTGTCCTGAATCTACAGTCTCATTCTAACTTTCTGCCATCACTCTTTGAACTTTATCAGACACTTTAAAGTTGTTATGAGAATCATTTTTTTTTAGAGTATTCAGGATTATAAACCGAATACAGCTGTCTTCCTTTACATCTGAGAACACTGAAGCTTGGAAAGGTTAGCTGAGTTATTAAAGTTTCCGGTAGACCCCAGTACCCCTAATGTCTTGTTTTTTCCTATTACCATACTGTTTCACTGACGATCCTGACTGAGGAATTTTAAAGAACTCAGAAGAAAATAGCTTAAATTCATTTAAGCTAGTACAGTTTAAAATTCATACTTTCTTTTAGACAGAATCTCATTTTGTAGAACAGGACACCTGAAATTTGCTATTTAGCGCAGACTAGCCTCAAACTTAGGATCCTTCTGTTTCTGCCTCTTAAGTACAAGGAATACAGGTATGGCCCATGAGGCTTAGCTGTTTCTTCATTTTTCATAAGAATGAGAAGGGCTAGAGTTACTATACTTAGACATTACTAAGGTTTTTAAAAATATTTTGTTGTTTTTATTTTATGTGTATGAGTGCATTGCCTGCATGTATGTCATGAGAAGAGGGCATCAGATACCCTGGAAATGGTGTTACAAAATGGTTTTAAACGGCCATGTGGGTGCTCTACAAGAGCAGCCAGTACTCTTAACTGCTGAACCATCTCTCCAGTCTGATATTAGTAAGTTTTTAAAGAAAGATTTATCTTATATGTTTATGCCTCTGTCTGTGTACATGTATGTGGGTGCCTTTGGAAGCCACAAAATGGCATTGGATCCTCTGAAATTGTAGTTACTATATTTGAATAGGACATTAAATGAAGGGACTGTGTATCATAATGATGCCATGAATGATGAACAAGTGGAGCATTTCTAAAGTGACCTAAAGAGAAAAACTCCTTTTCTCCCTATGGCAAACTTGCAATGAACTTTAAATAACTTTTTAATTCTTAATTTTAAAGCAAGGTATAATCCAAACCCCAAAGAAAGAAATTATGTGTGATATTAAAATGATTGAAATTGCAACCAGTTGGTTATATTTGCTGATATTCTGGCCAACCTACACACATACACAATAATCCTGATTTTTGTGCATTTTAAAAATAATTATTGGAATTTTCAAAACTGACAAAAATCTGAATATATTGAAATATAATCCAAGAACTGATAAGTTTTGAAACTCTTAGCCAGATTGTCATATATTACAAGGCTTACTGGGAACAAAGTTATATTACTGACAAAATGTACAGACCAAAATGTACAGGTCAAGTGACTTTGTTTTTAAACCATGTAAATAGCTCCTACCCTTGCTAATACTCAAGACAGTAATCTTGTCAGATGATGTAACCAGAGCGACAATTACAAGGGGTAATATCTGTGTTAAATTGTAAAAAATCAGGAAGAGCTTGGTAGAATATCTAATTATATAGCTCTTTACTGTACAGAGAGTTTAGCAAATTAGAAATAGCTTTTAAGTGTTAATATTTTGTCAAATGAACCTCAGTTCAGAGTAGCAAAGCACCATAAGCAAGCTTCATACAGAGAGTAGTTTGGAATGTAGTGTTACTGCTTCCGTCATTAAAACTTCTTCATCATCTTTGTATTGGACTGAAATGATCTTTAGCTGTACTTTTTCCTGCATGGGAATTTGATTGTGTAGACAATAGCCACATCATCACAGATGTTCCTTCATTTGGAGAGACAGCTGTGTTCGCCTACAGGTAGTATGTACCATGAAAAACTTAATTCAAACAGATGCTGTCAAATTAGGACATTATAAGATCCCTTTCTCATTTCCACACACTGCTAAACACACATATCCCAGAGATTACTTGAGACAAGTTTGCCAATTGATGCAGAGCCTTTACATTTATATTTGTTGATTATGTAATATATTTATTAATTATAATAAAAAGCACTTGCTTACTACATTTCTTTTAAGTTTTTATTTTTTTGAGACAAGGTCTTCCTGTAACCCCATCTGGCCTGAACTCATCTTTCTATGTATACCTTGTTGGGCTTGATCTCACAGAGATCCACCTGCTTCTGGTTCCCCAATGTTAGGATTAAAAGCATGCGCTACTGCCTGACATTACCACGTTTGAAAAGTTTTAAAATTAAGAGCTGGGTGTGGTAGTGCACACCTTTAAACTTAACACTTTGGAGGCAGAGGCAGGAGGATCTCTGTGAGGTCTAGGCCACAGTGGTCTACATAGCTAGTTCTAGGCCAGCTGGGATTACAGGGAGATTTGTCTCAGAAAAAGAAAACAAAAACAAAATACTTTTTTTTAATTTAAGATTTTTTAAATTTAATAACCACATGATTAGAAGAAGCATTTCATTATATATTTTAACATATTCAGCAACACACTCCAAAGTAAGGATGCTTTTGAAAATTAAAACCATTTTTAACTGATAAAAACATACATACTGTTTTTAACTGATAAAAACATACATATTAATATTATCATGCTGATGTTTCAGTACATTGTGTGACATTTAGATTGGGTAAACACCTTTGTCTCCTCAAGCATTTGACCATCTCTTTATGCTGAGAATACTGTAAGTCCTTTCCTCTAACACTTTGAAATAAATAGATATTATTATCCATAGTCACCAATATCAATAGCACACTGGAACTTCTTACACATCTAACTGAAACTTAGATCTTGCTGATCAACCCTTCCCAATGCATTAGTTTTCAAAATTACAGCATTCTTTCATCAAGCAAGTTACGTCTTAAATTTCTGGATATTTCTTACACAAAACAAGCCATTTTTCTAAACTGAATTTTTGTGATTTTTATACAATTTGATGGTATTTAGATCCCCTCCCCTATCCAGCCCCCCATTGCTCCCTGCCCAATTTAATGTACTCTATTTTATATATATTATATATATGTATATGTAATTATCTACCACAACCTATCCCATAAAATCTGTCTGCTTAAGACAAAGCTTTTTAATACCAACCTATTGGTCTCAAGGAAATGTACCTTCTATATGATGCGTATAGATGCATTCTTCTAGTCTCTTAATTACCTTCAATTTTTATCACATATGTGTATATATTTATAGAAATTTAATTCTGCTATATGTTTTATTCATGTGTGCTGTCTGCTTTATCTAGGAAGCCTGAGGACTGCAGTCCTTAATTCCCCTTCCTCTTATGTTTGTGAAGGTGAGACACATCCCAAAGAAAGAAGACGCAATTTTGTTAGGGAAGGGGGTGGTCTAGTTCTCCATTCAGATACTTGCTGCTCAGCTCTTCTTCTCTGGTTCTGGAAACAGCCATGAGATGCCGTCAACATTTCTTTAGTTGGTTCAGGCTTATAGGGTCAACTCTAGGATGATGATGATGGCCTCCCCTTCCCTGAAGTGCCAACAGCTTCTTCTTGATTTTTATATTAATGAGACATTTATAGTTAATTGCTGAAGTAAATGTTATACTACATATCTACTTTCTCAGGTGTACTATGAATGCTACAGACTTTTATAGGAAGTAGAACCAGGCATTGAATTGAAAGATGGCCAGCTGGATCAAATTTTCCATCCTAACTTGACTTGAACATGGTAATGGCTTCATTGCTAGTGGAAAGTGAGCAACTTTAATGTAAGTAGAAACAGAAGAACAATTGTATTCATGACATTTTGCCTGGAGATCAGATAATAGCTAAAAACAAAGCTTTGACATGACAGATACTTGCTACAATTGATTGTTTTATTGGATAAAATCATTACAACTTTTTTTAGAAAAAGAATATTTCAAAATGTATTAGGTGTAAATTTTTACCAGATAGATGAGTCTATACACATGTAAATATAGACTTCAAATTTCTTTTTTTTAACTTTAAAATAATTTTATTGAGAATTTCATACATGCATATAATATGTCTTGGTCAAATCCACACCCACTCCCTCCCCTCCAACTCCTCCCATATCTCCCATCACTTTTTTTTTCCTGACAACTTCATATACTCTTTTATATTTTTGCCTTTTTTAGGAGGAGTCCACACCTGATATTGATTTTTGTATATGAGTTTAATCTCATTATTTTATTTGAATTTCCAGGCTTTCCAATACTGTTTATTGAAGAGGGACTTCTTTTCCCTTGTATATTTTTTAACATATATTTTTTATTTCATTTTTGTG